ATTCAACTCATCTGACAAAGCTGCGATATCCACATCTGTCGCCCAATGTCGATTGCCACATGTTTCTAGCTGCAAAGCAACTTCATGCTGCAACTTTGCCAATGCAGCAACACCTGCACGGATGCGTTTGCTGCGGGTGACAAGACTATCTCCTTCCTGAAAGCGAACCTGCAAAGCATCGTCGAGGACCTGGACATCCACGACAACATTGACAGTGGCCAAAAACTCGAAAGGCGGCCTCCGGAGTAATGCAAGCATAGACCATTGGTCCATCCACACGCCAGCTTTTTCTCGAGCTACACACCCGGCAACAAAATCAACAAAAGCCTTCCCAGGCAACTTGCGGAAATGTCGACCAACAACTCCACGCAGAGCTTGTGCGACCGCTTTTCGATCTTTGGCAGCAAGACGAGGAGAAAGTCCAAGTGAATCCACCACAGCGGGCATTGAGTCGCGAGCTAAAATCAAAATGGCAGCAACGGACAGGAAGAAGCAATCACCACCACCGCCCGCATCTGCAGCAAAAGCACGCAAGTGGCAGCGGTTCCAAAAAAACAATTTGGTCGGATCGGCCACTTCCGGCACTTGCTCACACCCAAGACGAAGACAAAAATCACGTCGAAGTTCCTTCCATTGCATGGGCTGAAATTTTCGCTTCTTACCACGATGGCCTGCACTTCTTGCCGACTGCTGCACAGCTGATTCCCAAGCACCTCTCGCGTACACAAATGTGCCATCTGCATGTTTCGCATCCGGTCGGGGCAAAGAAGTCGACCTTGGAAACGTTGGAAGAAAACTGCGTGCGCTTTCGATCGTTTCCGTCGACGTCGCTGCCACTTCCTGGTTCAGGGTCACAAGATGCAAGTGTCACATGAAAACAACAATTATCCCCATTTTAACACCATCACAACCGCAATCATCAGAATCGCACAATCTCACACATATATCATTTCAAATACATCAGAACGACATCCTGGATATGAGTCATGAATCAAAAAACAGACAGTTGTCAGATGACCACAACATCGAAGACTAGAATCAAAATCAGCAAGTCGGACACTTTCAGATCGGCCGGGGCCAGCGCCACCTGACCTCCATCGGGGGCAACGCCACCTGGTGAGCATTTTCATGGATTTCCCCGCCTCGAGACGATCCAGAAAATCGGCGATGTATTGTGGCGGTCCATTTTCGAAGAAAGACCAGTCCACATCGCCGTTTTCCAATGTCGGGAAGTTCCGGAAAAGCGAATACTGCAGCGATTGAGCGTGCCCAAGAATCATGTAGAGATGTTGGATGTACACATCGCGGCCGAAATACGATGGCCGAGTGCAATCGATGGTATGTCCTTGTCCTCGGACCGTCTTGCCTTGACTATTGTTGAAAGTGCCGGCTGCAGATGGAGCTAACGGGAATTGGATCCGCGTTACATCCAGCTGCAGCTCGCCACGCCGTCGAAGACTGATGCTAAAGTTGTCTTCTGACGGTTCCAACAAGTACACGCCCGGTAGTGCTCGTCCGGTGTAATCGTCACAGCGATCCTGTCCAGTCAACGTGCTCATGTGTGCACAACACAATCAACACTATGCACTCCACACTCCACCCCCAAAAACTACCACAATCTCACACGTCAAGGACATCACCACCTGACTGCCATGAAATGAAAAGTTGCCATTTACTTTACACTCTACACAGCACCATTTCATTCCACAAGCTCTGCAAACACAAAGATGAAAGCATGCATGACGTTCTTGACTCCTTCTACATGCTATCTTGAACTTATCTAACTCTGCAGAACAATTATACCGATACTATTAATGCCACACGACCCGCCTCCACTCGGACGGCAATTGCCGCGGGCAAATAGTCCAGACGGACATATCCAGTTGTCCAGCAAGAATGTCCAGGATCGGGGACTTGCTGTCCAGGAGCATGACCAGGACTGCCAAAGCGCTCATTGGGATGCATCTGAATGCCAATCACTTCGCACGGGCACTCTTGCACAATTTCCGGCGGCAATATTTTTTTGGTAATTTTAACTTTAAGACCCACATGCAGAGGCAAAAAGGAAATTAGGTTGCCCGTCTTGCTGGCCATGTTGGTCACATTTAAAATGTCACGAAGAATGCTGGCATCATTCCCAAACTCACGTTGATGGATCAAATCCACCGCCTGCACATAATACAACAACTGTCCCTGGAAATGCAGAAATGGCACCATCCTCGAGGCTACGGCTTGCATGCACTTGCAGTACTGGGCATTGAAGGAACGCGACAAATACATGGGAAAGCCATGAGATATGATTCTAGGCTTTCCCTTGCTGGTATTGTGATCAGCCGAACGGCCGAAACTGGCACGTGCAGACTCATAAGCACAAACATGTTGAAGTCGAGCAACTTGATCCCAGCTCACAGCACTGAACACGCCACGGGCAAAAAATCCCGTAGGGCCGATTTGCAATCCCTTGTCGTCGTACATGCAGTAATCCGATGCCAAGCGAGCATCCCCAGCCAGAGGACGATAAATCTGCCGTGACATTGCATCTTTCAAGGCCTGGGACAACGCCACACCGCCAACTTGACGCATTTGCTCCAACAGGGTAGCCAGTGGATCGCCTTTTTTGAAACGGTGGGATCCCCGGAAAAGGACGGTTTGCTTCATAAATTTCCGAAACACATTGTATCCGTGCTCGTCAAGCTCTTGCTTTTTTTGCCGCTGCACTGGATCCATCTTCTCATACAGTGGGACTCCTGGCACGTCGATGCCAAATGCTCCCATGAGAGAATGATTCCGGACCGGATTGAGCTGCAAAAAATCACCTGCCAAGATCTGACAAAGAATGTCTCCAAAGACATGATCCAAAAATTGTCCGGGATCTACATCGCATCGACCCCAACAAGCCGAGGCGTGGAGAACGGCGAGCAAGTTTGGAGGTGTCAAGGAAATCTCGTCGATGAAGAGTAGGGCGACGCGGCGCCATTTCTTGCGCAACGCCTCTCGGCGATCCCGCGTCGGCTTCTTCAACAGGAGGTCTTGCTTCCGGCCTAGACCGGCCATGTGGTGGAAGGTAGATCCTCCGATAAGCCGAGCCGCAGAATTCTGCGCTGCCACCCCTCTCGACATGCAAGGCAAGTATTCTTCGTAAACCGGCAGAATCACTTCGTTCAACATAAACGTCTTGCCGCTTCCGCCCGGGCCATGGACGAAGATACGACTGACCATATCCTGCAACAGATGTGGATCGTGAATTAAAAACAAACCTTGATTTTGGCTACACGGTCCTAACAAGTCAAACAAAACAAAAATTACAATGCTTATGAAAATCGCACCAAGGAACTGGTGTGATGAGATCGAGGAGCTTCTCGGTCTGATTCGGATCACCAAAATGGGACAACATCTGCTTCTCTTTGGCCTTCTCCCACAGGCGCTGCAAAGGCGCGATCGCCAAAATCACAACATTGTACTGGTCACTAGAAATAGCAAACTTCGACACAGACCCAGAAGCGACTGCTCCAACATCGGTCACAACATCCGTGACGACTGGCAATTTCTGCTGCAACAACTGCATCGCCTTTTCCGCAGGAGACAAAACCAACACACGTGCAAAAGGAGCCACACCAGCTTCAATTTCTCGACTAGACATGTTTGTTGTGAATTCATCGTCACTCTCTGCACCAGCTTGCAAATCCTTCTCCTTGCGAGCTTCCAACAAAGTACTCTGATGTTTCAATCCCATATGAATATCACCTTGTCGCAGCGGCATGGACACAGGAACATCGCCACTTGCATCCACCCGATGACATTCCCGAGGTCGTTGAATTTCCACATACTTCTCCGCATACTGCTTCACAAACTCAGTGGCCCTCTGCGTGCTCGCGCTGACCTTGCCCGGTCCACCAGTTTTCACATTCAACCGATGGGCCAAAGTCAAAACATCTCCCTGATCGACATGCAGCCGCGGTTGATATTGTACATCCGGCTTCACAAGAGGCACATGCTCCAAATCATCAGCATCAACACTGCCATCACTACCTTCCACCTCCACATACTCGGCCCTCAGACCCAAATCTTTGCATTGTCTTCGGCGCTGGGTTGCACCTGTGCCGGTCGGGGCCTTCTGCGTGCTTCAGACATCAAGTCGAGATTTGCACTGACTTCGCGGGACACAACCGCGACATATTCTGCAGCCGACAATTGCTCCGGATGCCAACCGTATGATGCACGTCTCACAGATCCACCTACCGACAAAGCGGCTGTTGCTTTAGCAAACTGTTCATCGGAATTGCCGATCAATGTCATTTCTCGATCATCATCAATCAGCAGGCCAACAAAATCAAAGACGATGCTGAGAACACGATGACTGAAGCAAGGCAAGACATAACCCTTCATCTGACTGCTCTGCTTCCCTCTGGCGCGATGAACTTTCCGAACGCGTGCCAGCGGACGTTTCACTTGTCCGAAGCAATCCAGCAGGAACGACAAAGCATCGCTCTTGTGCTTGGCACCAGGTACTTCAAACTCTCGCACAGCAATAGTGTCCACCACCTCATCGCGACGGCACATGCATACATGTCTACAATCACGCTGAAACAGAAACGACACCATCTCGACTAAGTTTCACACCGAACCTTTCATATCACATCCCCGTGTCTTTATAAATCTTTCTACTTTAAGGCGGCCGGGCACTTAGCTACTTATAAGTTACTTATCTTGCACTTAGTTTTATGGTTCGCTAACTAGGTTATAAGTAGGAAATAACTTTTTTAACTTTTTGCCTTCGTTTTTTCAACATTTTTGATTTTTGAAGGATAAGTTTATTTTTTCAGCTTTTTGTCTTTCATTTACATGTTTTATTTCGTGAAAAGATCAGTATTTCCATGTGAAAGTTGCACCAATCCGACCCTTTTTTATCCGAGAAGCTGCTTTTTGCTGTTCAGTGTAAAAATTTTATGATGTGAGAAGATCATTTCCATGTCGAATGGTCGCGTCAATCCGCTTCTTTTTCATCCGAGAAGCAGCCAGATATCTTTAATGGCACCGTGACATTCCACTCGACTATAGGGTGCACTTTGCGCCTTTTGCGCGTCGTCGAGGTGCAGCAGGGACATTTTATGTGAAAGGGTTGGCCTTTGCCAACGTGTGAAATTGGCGGCAATTTCAGAAGTAAATGTTAACTCCACGCAGAGTAAAAAAAAAGTGGCATGAATTCTGCAAGCGCCCAGGATTTCAACTGCCTGATTTGTTGCCAGGATTTTGAACTGACCCTTGCCATACGTAACACCTTGGTGCATGATGCGCGGTGCCACTATAGCATCAGGATCTTCAGAGGCAGCTGCAAGGTGACGGCAGTTTGATGTCTTTCCAAGGAAATTCGTTTTGATAAGAGATTCTGTCTGATTCATGCGCAGATCTTGCTCTCCTAGTTCCAGGAGACAAAACTTGCTAAAGTTTTCCAAATTCTTTCGATTTGGCGCCACACGTGTTTTGAAAAACGTGTGCTTGCGTTCTGTTGGACAGCCATCCATCATATATCCCTTGGCAAACTGCTGCGGCAAGTGCCTTGAGAAATGCAACTTGGGTCGCGCCCATTCTCGACCATAGCATTCCATGAACTTGGTTGCATGCCTCGTCTGTTGACTTTGCAAGCGCGCAATGTCTAGCAGACCGCCGCGTTTGCTTTGCAGCCAACTGCAGATGACAGCATGCAGTGCAAGCAAACTGTCATTTTCCTTTTTTAGTTCTTCTTCATCTTGGAAGACTTCAGAGCAGAAAGCGGCACAAATTGGTAGCACCACCAAAGTGTCACCTGCGTCTCCACGATAATCTTTACCTCTGATCCAATGCTTGTCACTGAAGGCACCGCAGACCTCTGACGGAGATCCATCATATTGCCAGCAGGTTGTCGCATACTGGCGCAGCTGCTGCAATCGGATTTGAGTCTTCGTCGTCACTGCCTCCCACCAATAGCCCAATTCTTGATTGCAAAGACCATTGGCTACAAAGCAATGCATAGGGTCATATAAGACTCTGTCTACGCCGATCAAATCTGCCAAAGCCGGTTGTAGCAAAAAGGTTTCCGCCATTGCTTCGGTGTTCCATCCCAGCAAAGTTTCGGCTTTTTCTTTTGCGGACCTTGAAAGAATACTCTGCAAATACCTTTGGATGCCACGAAGACTTTCCAATGTATGCGCTTTATACAAAGTGAAGTCTGGGTTTGAAATATGAACGGTTTCTGCCAAGTCGAAGTGCTGCAGTCCCACCACATTCTGGCAAAGCCAGCAAGGTTTCAACCCACTCGAGCCCTTGTTGCCGAGAGTCAACCTGATACCATCTGCGTCCATGAAGACTGCGATGGACCGGATGAACACCAACTGAGGACCGGATTTGGTCTCAATCATGAATCCATCTTTGCAATCTTCCTTCAGTTGAGTCAGTAATGCTGTCATGGATTTTGGGTATCCTTGACTAACTTTTTGTAGTTCTTGCGATCGGCAAACGGCTAGAGTCAGCCAGCATGTGTCTGCAAAGCGAACAGGTAGCTCCTGAATGGAACAGTAACATAAGGCTGCCTTGCGCCGCAGATCTGGTGCTAGCACGTTGCCGGGAACGGCTTCATCCCAGAACATGACAAGCTCTAACGAATTATGAGCAGCTGCAAGAGCGATGTCGAAACACTCTGCAAACGCAGGGCAGGCATTCACTTTGTTCTGGAGACACTCGGGTAGCGAGAATGCATGAAAGACACATCTTTCCTTGCCATCTCGTACCACCAGTTCACGCATAGCCGGTAAGGTCACCGGAAATTTCTGGTGGACTTTGCTGGCTGTGAAGGAACCCTTATGTTCTTTATCATCATTCAACAGTTCCAAAACTTTTCGGCAATCAGCATGCGACAACTGTGGGATTTGTCGCAAGCAGCGATACTGGTCTAGGAGGCTATCGTCTGGGCACAGTCTACGTTTCTTCATGCTCAAAACCAAAAAAGGGCTGCGATCAGGAATGGCAATGTTTCTATGCAAGTTCTAGGCTACCTTTCACACGATGCAGCAGTCCTTTTCTTCTGCGTGCTTCCTTGCATTAGCGACGCCGGCGTTTCGGGGCCCAGCACTCACTTTGCACTTGAAATGCTTCGCGCTTCCCATTCTTCACAGGCGTGCTCTGATCTGCTGTACTGTCTTCAGTCTCAGACACATAAACCACGCGGGTTTGGTGCGACTGCGAAGCACGCAGCAGGCACAGACGCACGTCCAAGTGCAAGCCCAAGTCATGTTTGCCATACCTCACATGGAATGGCTCTGCCCAATCGTCAGCGACAAGCTTGTCTGCGGCAGTCATTTCGTTCTATACCGTTTTGCACGGCTCTGTTTTTGGGCCACAAAGAAAAAACTGCGAAGAATCGATGTGACAGCGACTGTATGGTATGGGATGTTTCATGTTTGGATTCTTCGGATCGTTATAACATATAGATATATAAATATATATATATATTTACATATAGCTTCGGGACCAAAAATGGCTTATAGTTGCTTGAGTTAGAATTCATGACTATATGTGACATGTACATTCGAAAAAAAAAATTGGGAGCTGACACAGTCTTCAGTATATAAATCGTTACAAAATGTATCTGGGTATACTTTTGTGGTCAAAGAAGAAACAAAGCTGACGGCTGCACGGAAGATTCTCTTTTCAGCTGTGCCACGACCATCCGATTCGGATCCATCGGTTGCATTGCAGATACTTCAAAATGTTCCACTGGTGTGGAACGACCATCGTTGCGCCAGGCAACATTCTATGTCGGCACTGAGCCTCAGGGAGATTGCTTGCAGCGCCTGCGCTTTGGCTTATTCTCTGTGTTGTCATTCTCATCAGCCGTCTCTCCTGCAGGCGCAGCCGCAGCTGCTTTGGCCTTACCCGCAGCCTTTGCCTTGGGGACCGGCAAAGATTTACGGAGAGTTTTCAAAATTTCACCTACGCTGAGATGCTGCGTTTTGACATCTCCAGCTTCGAACGGCAACTCTTTCAGCTTCTCTTCGCCGGACTGCGCCTGGGCATGATCAGCTTCCTGCAACGTCAACTTCGCAGCAGCAATCCATTCTTTCAACTTGGCCTGCGTCTTCTGACACAGTTCGAGCACCTGGCCATCCAACTCGTGTGCGGGCACGCGGCCCATCAGCTTGTCCAACGCTGATAGGTCCTGGCTCAGGATGCCCACATTCTTCGCTGCAAGCATTTGCACCTTCTGGTTGAATGCTTTGTTCTTCTTCTCGGTGCTTGCCTGCTGCTTTGCCGCCTTCTTTTCTTCCGCCTCGGGATTCGCATCTTTCTTTCCAGACGAAGATGCAGCCGCAGGCAAATCCAGCTCCCCATCATCTTCCTCGCCAGCTTTGCCCTTGGCTTTTTTCTTGCCTCGCACTGCAGTAGCTTGCCGCTCCTGCACAAGGATGCGCTCCCTGATCTCCTGGTTAACGACCTTCCAATCCTGGGACTTCACAGGAACTTTGTAGGTCCAGCAACCATAGGTGTCAGAATATTCTGATGGGCACGCTTCCACCACTTCTTTTGGCCAGCCCTTATTGAGATAAACGCCAAGTGGGAGAAATTTTGTGTTGACATTGGTGGAGTTCTCCGTAATCTGCTTTGTCGTTAACGAAGTGATCAACTGAGCTTTCACCGTTTCCCAGTTGAGCTTTCCATCTCTTTTTTCTTTCTCCGCATGGAGCTGCTTGAAGAATGCCACCTGTTCTTCCTTCGACAGTTTTTGGAGCTGCGACTTATCTCCCAGTTGTCTCCTCAACAACCTGTCTGCGGAACTGCAGGTGGTGCATTCGAAGGCTGAACCATGCTGACGTCCTTCAGTCACCTTGAATTCCATCTGGCAGGTCTTACAGAGCCTTTGGTAATTCTCTGCAGCAGCAGCGACCACAGCAGTTGCGGAAGGTTCCATGGTCCAAGGCAGCTGTACAAGACGCTCCGGCTAATCTACAGCGACTATCAAACACTCTGGAAAAGCCACATATTTGCAGTCAGAGACCTACCTCTCCGCGGACACGGGAACATCGAGGAAACGATGCTCTGTAGACCGCGGACACCGCGGACATCACCTGACCTACCGGTTCTTAGTGCAAAAAAAAACACATGTTAATTAAACTTTATTTCCGCGGACACCGCGGACAATGACCTATCCCCGACACCATCACTGCGGCCGCGGACATCCGCGGACATCCGCGGACGCCCCGCGGACAAGCAGCTTTTCCCACCCCAGGCTAAGGGAATCCAGTTGTGTGAAACGGATCTATAAAAAACCTCAGGGCGAGCGCCGGAACTCAAAATACATAAACTGCAGATGCGTCACGGCCAACTTGATCCATTGCACTTCTTCCAACCACTTGTCCGTGTTGAGAAGAGACTGCAAGCGCCCCAAATCTATCGCGGCAGCATGCAACTCGTCCGCATGATACGAGCCCACCCGTGCTTCGAAGTTGCTCCACTCCTGTGGTTCATATATCTCAGTCGCACAGCGAACGTGCAGGCTGCCGCCCTCATCCACACACACGGTGCGGACATCTTGCGCAGTCGCAACCAGGAGCAACCGCTTCAGCTTCGCCAGCGATTCCTCTTCTTGGCACAGTTTGAGCTCATAGGCCCTGGCCTGTGCCATATCGAGGCAATGCCGGGTGCTTACCCACACGTCTGTCCAATCTTCAGGGATTTTAGGACACCAGCGTCCAGGCACATACTGCTGCGCCACTTCTTCCAAGAAGCTGCGCAGAGACTCCACCTTGTTCACCTCCACGGTGAAATTGCAATCACGGCGCATCAGACGGACCCAAAGGATCTCGACCACGGATCTGAGCACTGAAACTGCGATCGGAAGAAGTGGTTTTTCAAGGACATTCTACTAAGTGTTTTCTATATAGTGTTCCATGCATGTTGCATATCTTAAACTTCCCCCCGAAGAAAACAAAAATTACAGCACCCCCGTTCCCAAAACTCCTTTTTTCCTCCGACGGTCGCTGGGCCAGCGTATTTCTATTGTCCAAGGCAGAGCTAGGCGATATCAATCACCACATGATTGCGCTTCCGGCCGTCACGGCGCTCACGGTGCCCATGCGACGAAGAGGATTCCCTCCGACGATGGCGTCTGCGCCGCACAGGCGTGGCACCTGAGCTAGACTCCTCAGATCGCTCGCGGTGCTTCTTCACCTTCTTCTTCTCAGCGTTGCTCGCAGCAACAACCGGTGACGCCGCAGTAGCCGGCTTCTGACCACGGCTCTTGGAGGAGGCAACTGTCTGTGGGGAAGCGCTGCGATTTGCTGGAGCAACTTCGGGCGCGTCTGTGCGACGCGTGAGTCGCAGACGTTGAGCATCCTGGCAGCAGGCATCCCACGCGGCCTTCGTCTGCTGAACTTTTGAGAGCTGATTCCAGCGCTGCCACGTGAGACACTGTTCGTTGCTCCAACGATGTTGCTCCATAGCGGATTCATATGGGGCTGTTCTACCCCCACAATCTCTACAAACCCACCGTTTGGGTTTCCCCTCCTTGCCTTTCCCTTTCGAGGCTGGGCGAGCGGAAGTTCCAGGCATTTTGGGAGGTTGGTCAGGCTCGGGAGGCGGTTTGGTCCGATCCACTGCCTCGTGACCAATTGCCTGATCTTCCTCTTGCTTGCCTCTGCGAACCGTCGCGCGGTCGCGTCCTGACTCCCGTCGTCGGGATCGACGTCTGCCACGATCCCTGTGAGAACGGGAGCGGGTTGCCTTCTTCTCCTTGGACTTCTTGTGCGAACGAGAGCGGGAAGCCTTCTTGGACTTCCTGTGGGAAGGGGACCGTTCCGCCTTCTTCTCCTTGGACTTCTTCTCACTGGACTTCGCCTTCTTGTCTTTCTCCTTGTTCTTGTCACGGGACGCCTCCGGGGCAATCTCTCCTGCTGCTGGCGCAGGCCCTTCAACCCCTTGGTCGTCTGCCTTCTCTTCTAATTTCACTTCCTCCTCGGTGTCCTCCTCCTCCGACTCGCTAGTCATGCGACCTGCGGAGCAAAGACAAAAAATATGTTCATATTATTATATATATATAATTTATATATCAATCTATATAAATATATATATATATATACATTCACTGTACATATATGTAATGCATAGTACTTGCGTGTGTGCTTCTCTGCATACACGTTTATATAACCTACACCCACATATACCGGCAACATCGCAGATTCGCCATGTCCACGAGTTGATGCAGAGGTGACGCGCCTCACCACGCAGGTAAGGCAACGCACCACGCAGGTGCGTTGAAAGTGCCACCACGCAGGTGACACGCCCCACCACGCAGGTGAGGCGACGCACCACGCAGGTGCGTTGAAAGTGCCACCACGCAGGTGACACGCCCCACCACGCAGGTGAGGCAACACACCACGCAGGTGCGTTGAATGTGCCACCACGCAGGTGACACGCCCCACCACGCAGGTGAGGCAACACACCACGCAGGTGCGTTGAAAGTGCCACCACGCAGGTGACACGCCCCACCACGCAGGTGAGGCAACGCACCACGCAGGTACGGTGAAAGTGCCACCACGCAGGTGGCACGCCCCACCACGCAGGTGAAGCAACTCACTGAGAAGCAAGTGAGTTGAAAGTGCCATCACGCAGGTGACACACGCCATTCCGCTGAGGTTCAGATGTCCCCAGTCGCAGTGTAGCAATAGATATACGCATGTATCGTTCTATATGTATACACATATTTAATAAATCATATATATATATATGCATAGTAAGACCACCTAAATATATAGAATCCCGCAACCCCTTGGTTCCATCACAACCCCGCCTGCGGAGTGACGCATGCACCCAGGGGCGCAGCAACCGACGCGGCTTGAGCCTATATATGAAAACAAAAAAACACACATGCAGGACATCAGAAATGTGCGGAATGTAAACAGTCCCAAACAACATCAAGCCAATTGATTCCGGAACCAATCCAATGCAAAGGCTCGAGGTGATTTTTTCCCAAAGGCCAGTGTGCACAGACGTCACCTTACAAACTGAAGCCGCGGCGAGCCCAGCAACTCACTGTGCAGTATTCCCTGTGATAGCATCGAGAGCAGCCGCCTTTGAAACGCGACAAAACCGCAGCTGGCACCAATTTCAAAACCCGCCGTCGCTTCTCATCGTAGTCAGCAGTCTGAGCTGCTGCGGGACGCTTCATTCCCTGACTAGAGTGAGAAGCAGGCTTTCGATGAACCGGCCCTTTGCGAGCCGGCTTTTTTTCACAGCAGTGACTTGCGACTCCTTCAGCTCTGCTGTCTTTTCCCTCTTCTTCACCTTCTCTTTCGGCGGGGTCATTTTTTGCCCCTTCTTCGGATGCGACTCCGCTGCTTTCTCTGTGTTCAACGCCTCCTTTAGTTTTGCAACAGTTACTGACGGAGGTTCTGCCTGGGTCGCCTCCTCTACTGCTTCTGCGGTTGCATCTGGCTGTCGATCCAGCAGTGCAAGCTGTTTTGCCTGCGTCGGAACTGAACTTTCGGAGACTGCCGTTGCTTCTGGACGCAACAACTTCAATCCCGGAAGCTCCTCTTTCTCTCTTGGCTCAACCATATGATGCGAGAAAGCCTTCGCTACTGCTGCAAAGCGACTTAACGTCTTTGTGACAGGAGATTCCAGCTCGCTTTTCAACTCTGCCGCCACCTTCCCGCGGCGTCTACACGGATACGTGGCAACCAGCCGACAGATATAATCCATTGACTTTGTCACTGGAGTCCCTGCAACAAATCCGTTTGGATATGCCGCGTTCAAAAATTGCTTTGAACAATCTTCAGGTGAACTTGGCAAGACATCCATGACAGAAGCCAACGGCACTGCGTTACTGAATACCTTTTTCATACGTGACTTATGCAAAGTCAGCAGCTTCAACTTGTCTTCTTCCAGCAACTGCATGCCACCCACACAAAAGGCCAACGCACATAAACCTGCGTACGTTGGTTCGGACGCATTCCTCAAGCCCAGCGAAGCAGCTAAGCCGCACAGCGACTCCAAATTTCTCACCTTATCCTTTCCACTTTCAAGCAAATTCCACCAGTCTTGGCTCAAATAATGTGGAATGTTGGTGAAATCCTGGAGCGCTGCACGCGAAGCAGCTGTGGTTTCGTCATTCTCATCACAGGTTTGCTGAGCAATACAAGTTTTCAACTCCTCCATGTGCAAACCCCAGACATTGCAATCCAGGATTGGCATCAAAGCTGCGGACTGCTCAACACTCAGCACATTCTTGCCAAGAAACGCTATCAAGCGCTTCAATTGCTTGCCACGCAAGTCATCAAAAGTAGGTAACGCAACCACATTCTGCAAAAATTTCTGCGCGGCTACGATCTGTTTCTCCACTTGAGCCATGATTGCTTTGAACATCACAAAAATCAAGAAGAAGAGATAGCTGGGAAAACTTCATTTTTCCAAAATATATAACAAAAAACAACAAGGTAAAAATGAGAACAAAAAAACTATCGAAAAAGCAATATGAGGTTAACTATGTTAAGTACCGTTTAACTTTTTAACATGGTCGGCCTTAAGTACCTAATAAGTCATTAACTAACTTATAACTAGCCCAAAAATTAACCCTACTTATAACTTAGTTATCCACTTAAACCTTAACTTAAGCCTCGCTAACTATACTTATAAGTTACTTATAAGTAGCTAAGTGCCCGGCCACCCTAAAGTATCAACTGAACATTTACTCGAAATCAAAGGCAACACAAAAAACGAACAAAAATCTTTCAAACCACTGACACCGTCCAAGTCACAGTATGACACCGTTTCGCCAGATGCAGCTTAACCTGACGACAACAAAAATGCATGCTTTCCAAACAAAAAAATCAAAGTGCGTCACACCATGTCATGAAATATTTGCCACGTAACATCAGCTCGATCTGCAAGCGTTTGCATTTCAGCTTCAGTTGCCTTCCACTCAGACAATACTCCAGTTTTGTCAGCTACCTGTCTGATATCACCGCCGGCCACCAAAATACGACGTCTTCTCGTCAATGGAATTTTCCGGATGTGATTGACAGCTTGCGCCTGCCCGCAATACTTGCTATCCAAACAGTGATGTTTCCGGAGAACTGCAATGTGCACAGCCGCCCACATCTCGGGATCCTTCTCCTTCGTTGGCATGGTCACACCATGCAAATATGGCACCCGAGGAGCAGGATGCAAAATCTGCACATAATACTTGGCTTTTGCGTAATGAGGTGCAAAATCAAATTCAGCAACGTTTGCCTGTCTGCTTCCAACCTGCTGCACATGAACACAACTGACGTGCATCCCATAAACATAGAAATTCATGGATGCCAGCGGCTCAACGTCTCCACGATGCAAGTAATCTTCATAGAAGGAAGTTGTGCGCAACTCAAAACCATCATTCGGTGGGGCCATCGCCACCTCCCGGAAGTGCGTCTCCGCCACGCCAGCTTCAACCGAACAATGCTCCGTCGAGCCGGCAGCAAGGCCGATGTCTGCGAGGGCGACCTGTCCTTCTGCTTCAAGTGCATCATGCGAGCCGCTATGGCGTCGCATCTCTTCAAAGACGCCCCACAAGACACGCTTCAGCATGAGACGCCAAAAGATGTGCGTTCTCAGCACTTCCCGGCCCGTCAACATGTGAATAGCCATTAGACAATGTCCATGCATAACTGCGTGAGTGGCTGCTGTCCAAAGCCGACATAGCCGCTTCCGAGCTTCTTGCTGCTCAGGGGTGCTCTTCTGCACCCCTGGCTGCTCGGGAAGCGGGTATGTCTGCAGCAAACGCTGCGTTTCTGCAGTTTCCGCTTCAATTTGCATGCGCTCCTCTAAACGCTGCATGCCAACTGTCAGATGTCGCAGCACTGGGCCACAGGTCAAGGCAGGTTTCGTCGTGTAGTCACAAGTGTAGAATGATGTCTGTATGCCAGATCGCAGACCTTCCACCAGGTTTTCGCGTAGCCACGCATGCAAACATCTCTTCGTATCGGGCAAAAAGCGATCCCCGATGCGATCACAATCGCCTGCACCCAGTGTGCTCATTTCCACGAAGTTCAAAGCCTTGCAGCACCACGACATCATGCGACAACTCATTGTGGACAGCCAAACAGACAAAACTTCTCCAACACGTTGCGTGGCTCTTGTCTGGAAGGGCTTGCGGCTCGCTTGCAGCATCGGTGCATCAAAATCCTCATCAGCATCTCTAAAAGGAGGCAGCAACTTCAGGAAGGATTCTGCCAAAGCACGTTTTGTTCCAATCATAACTTTCAGCTTGATCTTCTTGGCCATGGATTGTGTAACTGCGTGGGAAGCTTCCACCTGTCGAACAATCAGAGTGACAACCCTAGCATGCGCCAGTCCATGCCGCGGGACATCGCCACGACAGCGTCACTAAAACACATCAAACAAGCAAATAAATAACATACACAGTGCTACCAAACCTATCATGCAATGAAACGACCGCTTCCATGCTGCGGGACATCGCCACGACAGCGCCTCTAGAAAACAGCAATCAAACAAATAACAGACACACTTGAAGCAAACCAATCCCACAGTCCAGCACCGTCCCACCTTGTCATCCAAAAAATTCGGTCCGTCTTCCACATAACCGTCCACAAGCACACGACGACAATCTTGATAATTCAGATTCCCCCGATGCGTCACCATGCCAGCCTCAACTCGTAACAGTCACGTGCCAGAAAATAAGATCCAACTCACACTCTCGACCACATCACCAAAATCAAAACCAAAACTTACTGGAAAAACAAAACAGAATTCAACATCAGCTAGAAACGGGATAACACTGCCCTTCACGAGGATTGTACTGCACGGTGCGAACACGACCGCGTTGAGTACTCTCAGAAGAAGTATCAACGGTGCTACCCAAATCGAATCTGCCAGCAAAATCTTCACCCCTCAAGCCACCGCTTGGTTGCCCAGTCAGCCATCGCGGCAACAGCAACGGCTTGCCAGTGCGGGCTACTACCACTTCGATCAACTTGGTGAACGAAGAAAAACCAGCGTCCACATTCTTCTCACGAAACAATTTCACAAAATGAACAAAATTGAACCTGCAATGTTGTGGTTTGCGGCGACTGCCTTCAGGTGCATATTTAAAGCAGGTCGCCTGGTGTTCATGCAAATGGCCACTCAAAGCACACACTCCCATGAAATCAGCACAAAATGCATCGATAAATTCTTCATCAGTGATCTTCCTCAGTCCTGTTCTGGCCCCCGAACAAAGCGAGCATTCGCATCCACAGAATCCACCCGGCAAGAGACGATAGTGAGGCAGTCTAGACATCACAGAACCAGTCAACGCGAGTTTTCTCGCTGACACTGCTGCGGGGACATCGCCACCAGCAGCCACATTTTCATCAGGCTGTCTCATATGCAGATCAACAAAAGCCGCTTGCACCGGCACCAAGTCCCTTCGTTTCTCTGGAAATTTCTTGCAGTCTTCCAGCTCGCCGTCGTACTTGTCCTCTGCCTGCCACTTTGTCAAGTATGGCAAGGACTGCAAGTCAATTTTTGGAAACGGAGCTTCTCGGAAATGCAAAGGCAATAATCCGGCACATGAGCTCATCAAAGACTCCACAGCTAACAGCGTCTGCTGTTGCCAGCTGCGGAGCAAGGACTTGGCCTCAGCAGTCTCTCGTCGCAGCACTCCCTTCAACCATGCTTGCGACATGCGGTTCACGAAGTGGAGGACGATGTGGGGATGACACGCAAGACGGGCTTGCTCTTCGATCGGGCCATGCAAATGTGCAATCGCAGCAAACGATCCTCCAGTAAAGCTGGCAATGCAGCCATCTGGGAACTCAACTCCATTCTTGGTTCCATTGGCTCGGAGTTGAGGATCGAAAGCTGCAATGCCAAGCACATGCTGCAGAAAGAGTCGCATGGACAATATGAAGAAGCGAGCTTGTGCCACTGGATTCTCGGCAAGCATTTCTATCATGCGCGATGCCGTTGGCATGGATGGATTTTCATCGAGCAAAGAGACCTGAAACTTTTCAGTCTCTCCCTCCTTTGTAAATCCACCATCTGGATGTGCAACGCACCCGGCATGCAGAACTACAACCAATGGATTGCGCGTGTCAGCAACGTTGGGAGTGAGAAAACCTCCGATGCCACCAAACCTCAGTTGCGACATGTCCAACATTCATAAACATTTATATAGACTGAAGCGACGTGACGTTATTCTATATCCAAAGTTTTCTTGTCTTGCTTTTGTTGCCCAACCGAACTGTATAGCCGATTGCTTCAAGGTAAATCGTGAATTTCAAAGTCTGGTGCGATATATGATAGCTCTTGTATGACTCTGATGGCACTGACTGAAAATTGCAAACATTTCTTTTCCAAAATTTATACCCTTGAACATTCCAAGCAACATCAGCATAGCACCGTTCTGTTCGTGCCGCAACTGTTGCCTGGCTCCGTCTGTGCCCACCACTTCAGAGGAGAAGAAAAGGAGCTGAGATAATGCGTCTCGAATGTTTGCATCCACCACCGATGACCGCATCACATCGCCCAGATTGGCATTCTCTCCAAGAGCCGCCACAGCTGCCCGCAATCTTTCAGACGTGCACTGCAAAACGGCTTGTAAAGATTGCTTGAACTTCTTGCGTTTCACATGTGCCGACGCCAGGCGCACCATTTCCATTCTCTTCCAAGTGTCACACGCAACAGACAAAAAATTCAACTCACCAGCCCACCGCGGTATCGCAGGGGGTTGGAAACGGCTCGTTTCTTCTCGAACACATCGTCTTTTCACATTTTCATCACGATCATCAGTATCACGTCCAGTGCCGGCACTTTCCTCTCCAGCAGCAGCTACTTCATATTCCAGTTCTGCACGCTCAAACAAATATGCCGCCCACTCTCGGAACGTCAGAGGAGTATCACGAACAATGCCATAGACACCATCACCATAAGGAAACATCTCCGGGAAACATTTCTGCCAGTATTCGGGACTGTACATGCTCAAAGGAACCGTTCCAGTATGCACCACCTGCACACTTTTCCGACCATCGACCGACGCCTGAACACCTTCGGCGTGGTCCATCTGGGCGACAAGCTTGTTCAGTTTATCCTGCAGTTGTGCTGCTGACATGGACTCTGCCAACCTTCGAAAACTGTCCATGTCCTGGTCGAAGGTTTGACCACCACTGCTGCCGCGGCGGCTCATCAACAACTTCAATTTGGCCGCAAATTCCTTCAAGACACGCTCCACATCAAGATCATCCGAACCAACTTCTCCCGCCACACAACGCAGACCCGGCATGTCTTCTCCTTCCAGAATATGCTCGTGCGTATTTCCATCGATCTCTTCTACATCGTCTGCTTCCACTTCAGCTTCTGGCGCCGGCTCTGCG